CTACCTATAGACCCCATACACCCACCCATAGACCTCATACACCTACCTATAGACCCCATACACCTACTTATAGACCCCATATAGCTACCTATAGACCCCATACACCTACCTATAGACCCCAAACACCTTTCTATAGACCCCATATACCTACCCATAAACCCCATATAGCTACCCATAGACCCCATATAGCTACCTATAGACCCCATATACCTATGTATATGCCCCATATACCTACCCATAGACCCCATATACCTACCCATAAACCCCATATACCTACCCGTAGACCCCATATAGCTACTTATAGACCCCATATAGCTACCTATAGGCCCCATATTCCTACCTGTAGACCCCGTATAGCTACCTATCAGCCTGTACCCACAACCTACCTACCACTTAGCCCATTTCACACTTAGTTGCTTTCATGTCTCTTTCCAGTTCTACCTTGAGAGGCTTTGCTTATCTTTGCATCCCTAGACCAGAGCCCAGCACAGAGCAGAGTTTCCATAAATCTGTAATGCATGCAGACATGAATGAATAAAAGCCACACCGCATTTCAAAGTCAGAGAAAAATGATTTGGATAACTTTCCCAGTCATCTGAGTTAGTCTGTCAATATTCCTCAGCTTAATTGTGGGTAATTTACTGTGGCAATAAAGTGGCCCCTACATTCCTCCTAGATGGAGCTCAGCTTCAAGTTATGAGTTTGTGTCTTCTCCATCGTGATGGCCTTGTTTTCTTCTCATCTCCCTTTGCTCCCAGCCTGAAGATAAGCAGAAGGCGGCGGCTGCCTTTGCCCAGCTCCGGGGTGCCATGGAGACACTGGGCATTTCAGAGAGCGAGCAGCGGGCCATTTGGCGGGTCCTGGCGGCCATCTACCACCTGGGCGCAGCGGGGGCCTGCAAAGGTACGTCCTTCCTGCCGAGCTCACCTGGGTGGCCAGCTGTCTCCTTTGGCAGGTGCCTGACAAGGCCCTTCTTTGGACAGGTGGGAACAGGGTCAATCTGTCATCTTCTGTGTCTCTGGGACTGCTCTTGGGGAGGCTGCTGAAACCAGGCATCATGAGGAGGACATGGTTGGCATTTCAAGCAAACCTTCTAGACCAGCTCTGTCCAAAAGAACTTCTCTATGCTGTTTAGTGCAGTAGCCACTAGCCACAGGCTGCTACTGAACACTTGAAATATAGTAGTGTGACTGAGGAATTGATTTTTTTTTTTCCTGAGATAGAGTCTCACTCTGTTGCCAGGCTGGAGTGTAGTGGCGTGATCTCAGCTCACTACAACCTCCACCTCCCGGGTTCAAGTGATCTTCCTGCCTCAGCCTCCCAAGTAGCTGGGACTACAGGCACATGTCACCATGCTCAGCTAATTTTTGTGATTTAGTAGAGACGGGATTTCGCCATGTTGGCCAGGATGGTCTCAATCTCTTGACCTCATGATCTGCCCACCTCGGCCTCCCAAAGTGCTGGGATTACAGGCTTGAGCCACCGTGCCTGGCCAGGAATAGAAATTTTAATTGCATTTAATTCTACTTAATTTAAATTTAAGTAGTCACAGGTAGCTGGGGCTACTGTACTGGCACTGCAGTAGAGCAGCTCAAGAATATGCAAAGGAAGGTAAGGTTGAGTCTATGCAGTAAAGGTGCTGTGTTTCTTTTTTATTTCTTAAATTTTTATTGTTTGAGACCGCGTCTTGCTTTACTGTTCAGGCTGGGCAGCAGTGGTGCAATTATAGCTCACTGCAGCCTCCACCTCCTGGGCTCAGGCGATCCTCCTGCCTCAGCCTCCTGAGTAGCTGGGACTACAGGTGTGCACCACCACGCTTGGTTAATTTTTTTAAAATTTTTTTGTAGAGGCAGGGTCTCACTTTGCTGCCCAGGCTGGTCTCAAACTCCTAGGCTCAAGTGATCCTCCTGTCTTGACCTCCCAAAGTGGTGGGATTACAGGCATGAGCCACTGCGCCCAGCCAAGATGCTGTGTTTCTAGCTAGACATCCTGGAGATGTTCCCTGCCACGTGCCCTGAAACTGTTATTGTGTCCTTGTCCCCATCCTTAAGTGTCTATTTGCTGATTGTCCCTATTTTGATCTGGTCTTCCAAGTGGCTTCTGCCATCTCTCTCGTCCTTACCCTCTCCCTATCCAGTCATTCACCGTGTTCCAGAGACAGTCTCTGTGACATGATTTCTGTCCCAGATTCTCTATCCTTAGTGTTAGCGCCTTACATTAGGTGTTTGCCGTTGTGTGTGTGTGCGCTTGGATGGTTGCAGTAGCCTTCTTGCTGAGACCTTCATTCCTCCTTCCACCCATTGTCATCATGACCATCAACTTCCTTTCTCCAACAGAGACCCGTGGTGCCATGCTCCTGCTTAGAATCCTCCTGAGGCTCTCCCTTGCCTCTAAGTCAAATAGAATTCCTTGGCTCGGCATTCAAAGCTCCTCACCTCCCTAACCTGTCTCTTCGGCTCCCCCTTTTGGCAATAGAGAAGGTGCTGGGGAGAGAGTGGGGATGAATAGCAAGGGTTTCTGCCTTCACGGGGCCTTTGGTGCCTTGTGTTGTGATTGTGACTCTGCATAGCTCTTTTCAGTGGCCAGTGGCTGATCTTGGGCCCAGAACATAGAACTGGAAGTTACTTATTGAATGAACACGTGTGTGAATTCAGGTCCGTCCTGGGACTGTGTATGGATTCTGCCTGATGTTCTGGGCTCTTACCTTGCAGGACAGCAAAATCTTCTAGAAGGTGCTGGCGCATGCTTTCTGTCATCCCCACATTCCCGGGCCCTGTGGCCCATTCCTTCGATTCTCATCCATTTGAGCCACATACTTTAACCCACCGATTTGATTTTGTAAATTTCTAGAAGTCGTACTGAGTCAGGAGTAAGTAAGATGGGGATTCCACAGTCGATCCAAGCCAAGGACAGAGGTGCTGGGCTGGGCAAATAGGAAAAAACAAAATGCCACCTGTCTTTCCAAAAATCAGCCACGGACATTCACAATGGCAAAGATATGGAACCAACCTAAGAGCCCACGGACTAATGAGTGGATAGAGAAAATATGGTATGTAGGTACACCATGGAGTAATGCTCAGCCCTAAAAATGGGATGAAATCATGTTTTTTGCAGGAACTTGGATGGAGCTGGGGGCCATTATTCTAAGTGAAGTAACTCAGGAATGGACAACCACATATTGTACATTTTCACTTACAAGTCGGAGCTAAGCTATGAGGATGTAAAGGCATAGGCATGATATAATGGATTTTGGGGACTCAGGTGGCAGAGGTTAAGAGGGGGTAAGGACTAAAACACTATGTATTGGGTACAGTGTACACTGCTGGGGGGTTGGGTGTACTGAAATCTGATAAATCATCGCTAAATAACCAAAAACCATCTGTCCCCCCAAAATGATTAAAAATCTGCCGTGGGCCACATTAAGCACTTGGCTTTTAGGGCATCACAACCACTTTGCTCAAGGAACTGTGATGTCTCTCATTCAACTTCCTGGTCACTGAGGCCAGCCTTAGTCAGGAACAGACCCTGAGGCAAAGAGGTGGGGCCATGTTGTGTATCTCGGGGAGGGCCCCAGAGGCTCTGGTAGGGGAACGGGAAAATGACACAGGGGAGGGGAGGCAGGTAATACGAGGTGCATGAAGGAGCAGCTTACCCTGGGAAACTGAGGCTCAGTCCTACTGAGGACCCCTGGGAGACTCTGAGGAATATGCTTCCTGGTGGTCTTATCTAAGAGACAAGGAAGTCGAGATCTTCATCCAGAGACTCAGGGAGCCCCCTGGCTGATTAGTCTGTCACCAGGGAAGTGAAGGAGGTCAATTGCACTCCTGGGTTTCTCCTCCTGGGGCCAAGTGGGAGGTCCCTTCTTTGATGTGGGCTCAAGGACCTGACCCATCCACACCCGTACATCTGACGATCAAAGAGAAAGTCACTTTTATAAATATTTTATTAATACTTGATGACGGCAATAATTTCTGCCAGCCCTCCCCCTACCCCACCTTATAAATTATTTTAAGAAGAGCTGTCGTCAGTCTGCCTGGGAGGCCTGCCCGATGATTTACTTACTTATAGATTCTGCTTTGAAAGATTTCATAATAGGTTGCTCTAAAATCAGCTATTAAGAATTTCAAAGTCGTATGTAAATGTCTTTGCTTTGTGTCATAACAGATCATTTTGAAATATATTAAGAATCATTTTCATTAATCAGGTTTTTTTTTTTCATTAAAACGATACTGCCTTCTCAGCGTGCCTGGCTTCCTAGCTAATTCTGAGAGTCTCACTCCTATGTTTAAAAGCCAATACTAGTTCCCTCTGGGGAGAATTCAGGCCTTATAACTGGACACAGGGTTTTTGAACTGTTATAGCAATGACAGTAACCACTAATATTGGCTTGGTATTTGACAGTTTCAAGAGCACTTATGCCTCTATTACGCCTTTTGATTGGATTAGACTTATGTGCTAACTTAATGCTGTGGGCAGGAGTCGAGAGTCCACCTGCTGGGTGTGAAAACTGGCTCAGCCTCTGTGAGCCTCAGTCTTTTCCTCTGTCAAATGGGGCTAATGATGGTACCCTCTTTGTAGGCTTCTCGTGAGGATTGAGGGAGTCAGCACCCAAAACTGTGGCGCACAGGACTTGGCTCCTGGCGGTGTTTCATAAGAGTTCATTTTCATCCATCTCCATTTTAGAGACAAGCAAACAGAGGCTCAGAGAAGGTTTGCCACTGGCCTGGTATGACACAGCCAGGACCTTCCAGGTGGGGTTTGGGCCATTCTCATTTTCCTGGGGACACTGTGTTGAGTGCTGATAGACCCGATGATGTCACCACCTCCTTAGAACAGCCTGGGAGGGGTGAGGACTGTTAAGATGCCCATTTTATAGATGGAGAAACTGATGCACAGCAGAGAATTTCATCCGTAATCTTCAGGATGCACAGCTAAAGCTAGATATGGGATTTGGACTTAGGTCTGCTTGAGCTCTGAGCCCTGAGACAAGCCTCTGGAACTTCACCTCCTACTTCCCAAGCACCCCGTGACTAGCAGGCCTACAATTCAACTCAGTTCTCACACTGCCCTGAGTTAGCAGAGTTAGCACAGACCCCGAAGGTTACGGGTTCAGTCCCACAAGACTGTCCCCACTTCAGACACCAGCTGCCAGCACCCGGCCTCCCACACTTCTAACCAAGTGGCTTTTGAGTTGTGAGTTCTCATGACCCGCTTCTCTTGTCTAATCAATCACTAGAATGACTCACAGGCTTCAAGAAAACACTTGACTTACAACCACTGCTCTATTATAAAGGATACAACTTAGGAGTAGGCAGAATAGGGAAGGGAGAGGGGAGAGGGCAGAGGCTCCTGTCCTCTCCAAGCAGCACGGCACTTTGATGTGTTGGAAGCTCTCTGAGCCCCTCCTTTAGGGGTTTCCATGGAAGTTTCTCTATGCAGGCATGGTGGATCAAATCATTGGCGATTAACTCGATCTCCAGTTCTTCTGTCACATCTTAAAAAGAAACCCTATAGCCTTTAGCTATTGCTCTCTCAGCCCCCATCCCTAGGTAATGCCTTCCCCCAGCCCTAAACAAGCACGGATCTACTCTCTGTCTCTGTGGATTTCCTTGTTCTGGACGTCTGACACGAATGCAGTCATGCAATATGTGCATATGTTGCCTTTTACGACTGGCTGCTTTCACATGGTGGAACGTTTGCAAGATTTATCCGTTTTGTAGCATGGATCCATACTTTATTCCTTTTAATGGCTGAATCATATTCCATCATAGGGCATACCACATTTTTTAAAAAAATTATTTATTTATTTATTTATTTATTTTAAAGATGGGGTTTCACCACGTTGGTCAGGCTGGTCTTGAACTCCCGACCTCAGGTGATCCGCCCGCCTCGGCCTCCAAAGT